CATTTTTTTGTGAAAAGAAATTGACAGCATTGTTTGACATTCAGCTGTCAAACACGTTTTTAGGTTATTTTGTTTTGTATTTGAAAATAATGAAAAATAAAAGGCTCGTAGAAAAAACATTGTATTTCACTTGGTAGAAAAGCTTTCTTCAAGCAAAATAAATATTTGGTATTATTATTAACATAAGTAAAATATACCTAACAGCTTACAATTTACTATTTGCTGATGATCTGAAACTCTACTTAGAAATCAAAACTGTTGATGATTGCATTAAACTGCAAAATAATTTAAATAATCTATATAATTGGTGTATCATAAATAAACTTCATTTAAATATCAATAAATGCAAGAGTATGATATATACAAAGAAAAAGCATAGTATATTGTATAATTATGAAATCAACAATAGGCGTTTAGAACAAGTTACAGAATTTAAGGATCTGGGAGTTAGGTTTGATACGAAGCTGAATTTTATAAATCATATCAACGCGGTAGTAAACTCATCTTTTAGAATGTTGGGTTTTCTCATTAGAAATACCAAGCAATTTATAAATGAAAGCTCATTAAAAATGCTGTATTTTGCATTAATAAGGTCAAAGATGGAATATGCTTCCATAATCTGGTATCCAATCTATCTAGTCCATATAACAAGCATTGAAACTGTACAACGCAAATTTTTAAAGCTCTTACATCTTAGAATATATAATGAATATCCAACTCAGGGATTTGACCATGATTTGCTACTATCGACATTTGGATTTAAATCTCTAGAAAAGAGAAGGGTTATTGCATCAATTTCATTTTTGTTTAGGTTGCTTAATTCTCAAATTAGTTGTAGTGATTTGCTTTCTCAGATTAACTTTTCGGTACCAAGATTGACTAGCAGAAATAAAATTACTTTTCTTCTAAGCTTCAATAGAACTAATTTGGGACTTAAGTCGCCCTTATTTGTGATGTGCAGTAACTTTAATAAATTCTGTGAATCTTGTGACATAAACTTTAATACGCTTAGCCATAATGTGTTAATTAGCATCTTTAAATGTTGCACACATAATATGTTGTTTAGGTTTATCTATATATTTTTTTATAATTTGAATACTATATAGTACGCATGTATCCTATTTAAATGTCCTGTAATGGTTTAAACTGTTGGGCAATAAATAAATTATTATTATTATTATTATTATTAATATTAATTTAATAAGTAAATTTTAAATTAAAACAAACATGGATAGATACATTTAAAACTATAAAATAAAATCTTTTCATGTCTGCCGGTTTTATTTCTATGAAATAAATTGTAGGTTAAGTTTTATTTATGTAATATTTAATATTTCTTGTATGGCTTTTAAGTCCATAATAAATCAAAACAAAAATATACTCTTTCTTCTTCGCAAAATTGCTTCATGCACCACTTGTGGTGGCAAACCTGTCAGGGGAAGATACAAAAACCTAGACTAGCTGCAGTTCCTTCCATTATAGTAAACTACTATTACTATTAGTAATGTATCAAATATGCTTAAATAAGGATGGTTTCTTATTTTAGTTCAATTGGTTGAAAGCGACGTTGCAATTTCATAACGTATGACTCATAAGTAATCTTATTTTTGGCGACTTTAGTATGGAAGTTATGTGACGCTAAGAAAGTATTTAGTTTTTATATGTATTAAGCAGGACGCCAAGTGGGGACGTTTTTAGACCAGAAGTCAAGTGGTCCTACATATATATATATATATATGTAGCATCTCTCTAAATATATTCAAATATTTTGTCACTTTTATCATTGCTATTAAAAACACTGAAAAAGTTATTTGTTGTTTTGTTGTTTTACAAGTGTTGTAAAGCGACTTTTTCATGTGAGTTTTTAGGCCTAGTGTGCATTAACACGAGCTTGAAGAGCTTTTCTCACAAGTGAAACAGTATTTTTCTACGACCACTATGTAAAAGTCACTTTTCATGATGGCATCGTTGCTTAGAAAATGAATCTTTTCATTGGCAAGGCAAAACACGAATGTAAAGTGACTTTTCTGTGTGAAAAGTGACAGGTCTGTGTGAAAAGAACCGGAAAGCATCGTTTGACATTCAGCTGTCAAAAAAGTTTTTAGACTATTTTGTTTTGTATTTAAAAATAATAAAAAATAAAAGGGTCGCAGAAAAAACATTGTGTTATACTTGTGAGAAAAGCTTTCTTCAAACTCGTGTTAATGCACACTCGGCCTAACGGCCTCGTGGACAACTTAAAAACTCGCATGAAAAAGTCGCTTTTCAACACTTGTAAAACAAATAACTATTTTCTACAACCCTTTTATTTTTTATATTCAAATACAAAACAAAATAACCTAAAAACGTGTTTGAAATCTGTTAAAATTAATTTCATCATTTTGAAGGTTACTTAAAATCAATAGGTAAACATACCTTCTCAATTTAAATAAAGCCTTTAAGGCACTAAAATTAGAATGTATTATACAGAAACAATTAATTGTGTTCTAAATGATATTAAGACATACATACAAATACAATACAAATTTTGAAACGAATGTCACTTTTCACACAGAAATGTCACTTTACATTCGTGTTTTGCCTTGCCAATCAAAAGATTCATTTTCTAAGCAACGATGCCATTACGAAATGTGACTTTTACATAGTGGTCGTAGAAAAAAAAATTTTAACTAAAGTTTGATGTTATGAATGTAATTACAACAAAATGTTTATTGCAATATCGCGTCGACTATGTAAATTAAACATTGAAGCTGAAATGACAATCGTTGAACAAAATAGCAACCCGATCAGGATTAATTGGCAATTGCAACTCTACATCAAAGTGATTTTGTGTTTTCAAACGATACGGTAAAACCGCAATAGTAAAACTACACAATAATATGTTTGTTATAGGTGTATCAAAACCTTACAGCTATTATTTTCCCAATTAATTAGAATTAGTATTTTATTGCAGTATATAATTAGTCAAAAACACTAAGAACTGTGTGCACCGATAAATAATTATGTTAAGCATCCCTATATAAAATATCGTTAGTTAAACCTATTATCCGTAAAAATAGATTTAAAATGATTAAAATACTTAAAAAATTGATTTATTTGAGTAATAATATTTTGTTTAAAAGAATTTAGCTTGAACTAAATTTGTTATCAGTTTTTACCCTCTTTAATATTAGTTTTTTTTGTAGAAAAAATAGGGATGCAAATTTAAAACTTTTACATAAAACCCAATTTTATGTTAAATTAGTGCACTAAACGTGTAATTAACCTTTATGTAAAATATGTAATGTTACTTGCCGTTTTTTTTTCGCTATATTTTATTATTTTTGTTAATATTAGGAAATTTATGTCATAAGGCTGAATGGCACACAATGTTTTTATCTTCAAGGAATAAATTTGTTTTTTAAACGATTCAAAAAAATTACAATAATTATAATAATTATTATTATTAAAAGAGGAAAGTGAGGTTAGGTAGATCTGACACAGAACTAGTTGTTTAATTTTTACTTTCAAACATTGGCTTCCTGAAGTATGATATTCATTTTTAAAAGATTAGTAAACACAGTCGGAAAATAGTATATTATGTACCTATCAAGTTTGATAAACGCCATTTTATACACGAATTTAATTTAGGCACGAGCGAGCTTGCGAGCGAGTGCTTAAGTTAATGAGTGTATAGAAAAGTTTATAAACGAGGTGCATACTATACTTTTTCTACGACAAATACTTATTATTATCTTAAAATGATTTAAATCAAAAATTTGTATAGAGCGCCATCTATGAAACAACAGGGGAAACTGTCAAATGTCACATTTTTACATTTTATAAACACAATTATAAAGGTTATAAATCGAAATATATCTTGAAAATTGACAGATTTTCACAGTGAAAGTAAAGGAAATGTTTTATGAGGACTTTACAGTATACTGTAAAGTCCTCATAAAACATAGAGTCCGTGCCCGAATTTAAGTTATAGTTTACTGCCGGCGAAATTAAAAAGTCAGTACAATGTTCATATAAACTTTTCAAATATTGGCCTTGAGAAACTATTTAATATTTTTGTATTTTTGTATTGATATAATAAAATAATTTTCACATTTAGTATTATTTTACAAGAAAGGCACTTTATTTTAACGATTGTATGACATTTGACAACTGTCAACTAACTTAAAACTAACTTCAGCCCGTGACTAAAAACCTGTTGCTAACTTCAGCCCGTGACTAAAGCGCCGTAAAGCCACAACTTGTCAATGTGTATTTAAAAGGTCACTTAGTGTCATGGAAACATGTACGATAAAGGGCGTTTTAAAGGTGGGAGTAGAAAAAATATTTTTAAAGGTTTTAAGGCAACAATGTTATATCGTCTCCTCCCAATTTTTAAACCTCCTGTTTAACCTAGGCGAGAGCTCTCGATATTGGTTGCCGTTTTTTTGCTCTCATTTGATTACACTATTACCTAGAATTGTTTTTATTTTTAAATTTGGCATCTTTATTGCTATCAACGCAACCATCAACGCAACCTTTTTCTGTGTCGAGCTAATTTTTATTTTGGATTTTTGCTACTATTAATTAATTTGTGAACTATTTAAATATTTTTATAAAGATCACTTGGGTGGTTTTGCTTTGCACCCCTTTAAAATTTAAAAGCTATTTTTAGTCAAGTTCAATTACCTTATTTTAAGACTTAAATCGTTTCATAAATACAGGTTTTAAATTTTAGTTATTTCTTAATTATACAATTGTATGTATTTTTGTGTTGTTCCTTTAACAGATGTAAGGTTCTCTATGTGATGGTAAAGAAATAATACATTTTTATTGATCAAAGTTCACATGAAAACATATCATTTTAAAAATATACCTATAATAAAACAAAATAAAAGAAATAACACTAATGGAATTTGCTCCCGAAAAAAGTTCCCCCTTTTTTTATTAAACTTTTCCTTAACCTTTAAGTAAGATTTATCTAAATGTTATATGAAAGTAATACGTCATTTTTTTCTTACCAAATCCTTAAGATAGAAGGAACAGCAGCCGTTGGTGTGTCCAGGGGTGCTCAGTACATTCAACTTGTAGTTTCCGAATTCGATTTCGTCGCCATCGGTAACGAAAACGTCAGCCTGTGCGCCACTGCACTTCGAAATCACCGATTTGCATCCAGAGAGGTTTTTTAATTTTCCAGTTCCGGTTATGTGGTCTGCATGCATATGTGTGTTCACTGAAAAATAATTATACCTTTAAATTTAGGGATAATATGGGAAAAACTCTACTAAATGATTATTTATGTTAATGTAATTCCTTTGAGTTTTTTAATATTTGTAATTGGTATTTCTTTTTACAGTCGTTTAACAGTTTATTAATCATCAAACATGTTCGTTGTTTTTTTTTAGAAAACGCATTAACAATTTTAAATAAAGTAGGTAGGTTATAGTGTTTTTTGCATGCTTAGGTAATTTGACACATTTTTAAATACAAATTTGCAGACCGGAAATTAGGTAATTACTTACCGATCATTTTTTGGACAATTTGATGGCCCCCAGCTGCTTTATCTTAATTCGAAACGCGGTTTTTGTTATATTATTATTATTAACTATTTAAGAAAACACGCGTTGCGATTAAGATAAAGCAGCTACGGTCAATACAAATATTCGTATTTTCCATAAGAATTCAAAATAAATTAGGTAACTTTGCTTAAGCAATGTTAATTTATTTTGCAAATGGAATAGACAATCGACATGATTTTTTTTTTTTGACATAAGGAAGCTAAGTACAAATTTTTATGACATTGGTTAGAATTTGAAAATGGGGGTTGTTTCTTCTTAAATTTATATTAAAAAACCTTCAAAACCGTATACTTAGTTTCAATACTAAGCAACTTTGTATTAAAGAAAGTTTACTTAAGTCTAGTTTTTGGTCAAGCACAAAAATAATCACTAGTCTAATGTAATAAATAACTTTATCTATTTTGGTTTCATAATGACTTCATTATAACACCGCTTTTGGTTCTTTAATGAGGTACTTTATTCCACCCAAAATTTTGATTTTATAGGTTGGCTACTGGTAAAATACAATTTTGAATACCTATAGGTTATAATATTTTTATGATTTGTTTTCTAGTACTTACGAGACTTTTCGTGCAATAAATTTTGTTTAACACCAAAGAAAATCCTTTTTTCTTCTTTAACAGCCGCTTATTGTAAATACTTATTGTAAATTAACGACGCCATAGCGAAAGAATGTGATAATGTTTGAAAGGTTAATGACCTTTCAAACTTCAAATTGTGATACCAACTATGTAAAGTAAAATTCCACCAAATTAAATATAAGGTATAAAATTAATTTGTTTTATGAAATGTTTGCAAAATAGATAAAATAGCATAAAAAACTCATGTCATAAGACCTTTTGTCGCACTTGTCCATTATAAAACTCGCTCCTTCGTCGCTCGTTTTATAAATTGTCCGCGTGCGACAAAATGACGTCTTATGACATTAGTTCTTTAATATACTATTAAAATTCTTCATAAAGGAAAATCAGCTAGAGTTGCAATCTGTATTACAGAATAATATATATAAATATATTTTACGGCAATAAAGGTCAAAGTTGACAAAATAATTCGATTATAAATCTTTCAACCAAATCCCATTATAAACGTGTGTACGAATAAATCCGACGTTTGCGAATAAACGAACTGGTTGTTTGAAAATTATTTCTATAGCACTTGATTTTGGAATAATTAAAATAGACAAAATTATAAATACGTAAACTTTAATTATCAAAATACGCGATGTTGTATAAGAAAATCGTTAAACGACTGAACCTGCATGCGCGAGGAAAAGCGATATAAAATAAAAGGGTCAGAAAGCAGGCACGACCACTACACTTTTCAGTTATAATCTGTGTCTCAAAAATTAATTTTTTGGACAAAAGAGCAATTTCTTATACCTTTATAATAAATTTAAATTTTTAATGAAGATTATTTTTTACAAATCATTTTTTATAAGTTGAATTTTTAAATAACAAAATTATCGTACTTACATAAAGTTGTTTCTTGACTTGAAATTTTTTTATTGTAATAGCATTATTAAAAAGCATGCATATTTAGTATTTTTCTAATTACCTTAGCGAAAACCTGCATACAATTAATAATGCACAGTTAGTTATTGGTTTGAAAACATTTGTAACCAATTTATCAAACTCCATTGTTGCAATTTTCTAATAAAACAAAGAGTTGTTTGACTTGAAAAATCAATACCTATGAATATTTAGAATGGCACTCGGTCACCACCGCAAAACCTTTAATTACCAATGTCTAGAGAAATAAACAAAAATACGTTACTCCCCAAAAACCTTTTAAAATACTTAAAACAAAAATACGTGAGCAAACCGTAATAAACCTAACTTCAGTAATAGTAAAAAGAATCACGTCGTACAGTGATTTAATTTGAAAATCTACTAGACAAAAGTATATTTTTTAAAATCTTTAGAATTTATATCTGCAAGTTAAAATTTACATTGTTTATATATTTTTTAAATTATTAATATTATGAGTAACCTTTAAAACACAATTTCAATAAATGGCACAGTAAAAAATTATTTGTTAATTTTAACCAAATACATGTATGCACTGCGCGTCAAAACGCCTTTACCAATCTTTATAAAATATTTGTATAAAAATACTTCAACTTATATCTCAGTTTAAGTGTTCAAGGGTTTTTCGAGAAAATATTCTGTAAGCCCTTTTACTTAATAATAAAAAATGCTCGAAAAAAACCTTATTAGGGAAATTTATTTTTAAGTAAATAAAAAATATGTTTTGAAAGACCGTATTTTTAGTATACTCTGAAAATTTTGTACAAATCAAACGAACAGTAACGAAAATACAGCGCTTCAAAGACGTCAAAAATGACCACTTTTCAGCAAAATAATAAAAAACTCCTTTTAAGTTATGTTTCGAACGTTTTATTAATTATTAAATAAAATAGCTTTAAAATTTTTTTCTCTAAAAACCCTCGAACACGTATTTTTATACAAAATTTCATAAAGATTGGTAAAGGTGTTTTAGAGTTAGAATTTTTTTACTTATTATGCGTTAATTTTGACGGGCGAGAATTAAAAAAATAGTACCAAAGGTTGATTTTGTCCACTACTTCGCACACAATTTAAACCTGGTGTTGAATGATTTAGTGCAAAATGTTAGCGAAATTAGGAATTTCTACGGATTATTAGAGAATATATCTTTTTTTTAGTAAAAGTTTAACTCTCTGGCAAAAACTCAACAAACCCAAAGAAGAAAACGAAATGATTAAAAAAACATTGAAAAGATTATGCCCTACAAGATGGTCTCGTTTTGATTGTAGAAAGAATGGTCAATACTTTTTTTCATAAACTTGCAACTGACAATGGAATATAAAATTCTCTTAGAGGATTTCAAATTAAAGTCTTTTACGAGTCTCTTGATATAATAATTAATCAACTCAGCACACGATTTATAAGTGTAAACAAAGTAATGAACTATTTTTTATTTTTAAATCCAGATGGTTTTGTTAAATTATCTACTCAAGAAATTATAGATCATGATTAATCTATGAATTAGCCTCATATCAGAAAACAGATCAATATTGAGCAGTCTTCCGGATATTTGTCCGTTGTTTCAACTTTTTTTGACATTACCTGTAACATTTGCTTTTGCGGAAAAAACAAATTCAAAGTTAAAGTTGATAAAAACATTTACGAAGTACAATGTGCGAGGAGGGTGTAATATTATTTTATTCTTGCCTCCCCCTAAAATTACGTACATGTAGCAATAAAATCTGGAAATACTGGAATATTATCTAAGATGCTAAATTGTAAGAAAAAAACTCGGATATATCTTTAGATTTTATTTGCGTTTTTTTTTATCTACCTGGAAAATATTCTGTATTGTTTTAAAAATATATCGACCAACTGTTCTAAATCAAGTTTACGCGCACGTTTATGTTCAATACTTATTACACTGTAATAAGTATTGAACATAAACGTGCGCGTAAACTTGATTTAGAACAGTTGGTCGATATATTTTTAAAACAATACAGAATATTTTCCAGGTAGATAAAAAAAAACGCAAATAAAATCTAAAGATATATCCGAGTTTTTTTCTTACAATTTAGCATCTTAGATAATATTCCAGTATTTCCAGATTTTATTGCTACATGTACGTAATTTTAGGGGGAGGCAAGAATTCTTATCGCCGCCACTGGCTTCTGGAGTACAAACAGATATGGAGGGTGTGAGGCAAAAAGTGCAATGATTTAAACTGAGAGTTCTCAGTGCGCCATGGATAATTTAATTTCAAGCAAATGGAAACGTATGACACACGTCATGACAAGCAAGATTGGCCCTCATATTTTGGGTTTGTAAACACTGCAGTTTAATTTGTTCAGTGTATTTTGTCTTATGAAAATGCGCGTCAACGTGTCAACATAAAAAGTTTGTACTCCTGACTCTAGTCTTCTTGTCAAAAGTATTGATATTAGTAAGGAGTGTAAGGAGTACCTTCACACTACACTCAACTACAAACTATAAACACACTATATACACTCCTTACTAAATAGATATTTTCTTGGTAATACGAGCCCTAACCACATAATGTTCGGACACTTCATAATTTATACAGAAATTTTTTTCGTGAATACTATATCAAAATTATTAGAAGTTATGAAAAATTCAGCTTATTTTGGCATATACCCCTCGAAGCGATTTTTATTTTTAAAAAGTTTACCTTTTATTTTTAGGCTAACTTTTTAACTTTTTTTTGCATGAGTAAAAAAAGTTATAAATGGGCCCATTAAAAAGAACATAAAATATTATACAAACCCTGAAAATTTGGTAAAAATTGTATAAATAATAAGAGAGTTATAGCGATATATATATCTGCAAAATCTCCCGTTTCCTAAGAAAATTGCAAAAACTCTTTAAAAATAGCATTTTTAAATTACTTATACTTTTTTATAACTTATTTATTTTTTACCAAATTTTCAGGGTTTGTATAATATTTTATGCTCTTTTTAATGGGTCCATTTATAACTTTTTTTACTCATACAAAAAAAAGTTAAAAAGTTAGCCTTTTTTTAAAAGCTAAAAATAAAAGGTAAACTTTTTAAAAATAAAAATCGCTTCGAGGGGTATATGCCAAAATAAGCTGAATTTTTCATAACTTCTAATAATTTTGAGATAGTATT